CCCCTCACCCCCAACTCTCTTGTTAATTGAAATTTAACAATTAAGTACCTCATATGTATTAGGAGCTAGTTATACAGATACTAAAATTAAATAGCCCCTGGCTTCAAGGAACTTATATTTGTTGGAAGAGTAAGAGAGATACAACATGCACACAGATAAAATAAATGCAAACTAATTTGAGAAAGGAGACATCATCACAATTTGGGAGAACAGGAAAAGTTTTGTGGAGGTACTGATAGAGATGAAAAGGGAGTGAATGGATGGGAGAAGGGAGAAGCAGTCGGTAGAAAGATACAGAAGTGGAATATGGGATGATGAGTTTGTGGAATAGCTGATCAGCTTGGCTAGAATCTAGAGTTTTTAAAGAAGATTAATAATAATAATGTTGTTAATATAAAATTAATCTTATAAAGTGGTTAGAATCAGATTGTGGAAGGCCTGCAGATCCTTCAAACAAAGAAAATGAAGGAGAGAATCATAGGATCTCAAAGTTGGAAAGGAGACTAACCTCTGACTCTACATCATATTCAATAACTGGACATGTAGACTCTACTTAAAGACTTACAATGAGGTAAAAATACCTCCTGAGATAAGAAGGAAGGAAAGAAGAAAGGAAGGAAGGAAGGAAGGAAGGGAGAGAAGGACGGGTTTGTTAAATGCTTACGAAGTGCCAAACACTGTGCTGAGTTGTGGGGATACAAGTTCAAAAATGAAGAGAGACAATACCTGCTGCCAATGGACCCATGTTCTAATAGGGAAAGACAACACAAATAGGAAAATTGGGACGGGGAGGGGTCTCTTAATCTGGGAAGTTAGAAGAATACAAGAACAGTAAGTATTGTCAAAGAGGAGTTGATCAAAATACCCTTGTCTAAAGCCATTAGAGTATTGATTTGTTAATAATTCCCAGAGTAAGAAGTCAAAAGAGAAGGGTGGAGATAACTCATCCAGTAAAAGTAGATAACTTACTAGAATATTAAATATAGTCTGGGGATGACTAGATATTGTGCACTGTGTCAATTCATATTCATTCACCAATCAAGGCAGCTCAGACCCCAGGGTGGGAATTCCAAAGATGAGTAAATGAAACCCCCTATGGCATGGTCTTTGGAGGTTTAGTAGTCCTAAGAATGTAACACCAGAGCAGATAGCAAGAACACAAACTGGTTCTGGCCATTCCTCCTCCAGTGTTGCTATTGTGAAGTTGATTTTATGGAACCAAGTATAAAACTTTACATTTATCTCTTTTAACTTTCATCTTGTTCAGACCAAAAACTTCAAAAGACATGAACAAACAGTTCTCAAAAAGAGAACTGCAAGCTATTACCAACCATATGAAAGAATCGGTCAAATCACTAATGATAAGAAAAATCCAAACTTCTTTGAGGCAATGTGTCAACCTCAACAAATTGACAATGATTACAAAAGACAGGAGTAGTTGGCGTTAGAGGAGTTGTGGAAAGAAAAGTACACTAATGCATTGTCAGTGAACATATGAGTTGGCCCAACCATTCTAGAAAGGAATTTGGGTTAGAAAGCGATTATAATGTCCATACCCTTGGACCCAGAGATTTTACTGCCAGGCATATCTCAAGGAGATCATCAACAAAAAGAAAGGATCCATATATACCAAAACATTTATAGCAGTATTTTTTTTGGCAGCAGAGAAATGAAAACAAAGTAAATGCCCACAAATTAGGGGATAGCTAAACATATAATGGTACATGAGTATAATGGAATATTACTGTGCTGTAAGAAATTATGTAGGTGATAAATACAGAGAAGCATGGAAAGATCTTCATGAACTGATACGAAGTGAAGTAAGCAAAGTCAAGAAGTACACTCACACAAACACACATACATACACACATATATATATATACACATATACATACACACACATATGTATTCACATAGAACTACAAAAAATTAAATGCAAAGAACAACAACAGAACAATTAATATGGAATATTGCAAAATTATTGTTAAATGCTTGACCCCAAGGAAAATATATGAGAAGACACCTCTTCCTTGTTCTTTTTTAAGGGTTGGTCTCCATATATGTGGAATATTGCATATAATGTCAGACTTTTTTAGCTGTGTTGATTGGTTTTGCTAAATATTTTTTTCTCTTCCAATTTTTTTTAAAAACTATTTTAAGAAATAGCTCTCTAGTAGTGGAAAGAGATACAGGGAGAAATCTAAGCAATGTAAAAACAAAAGATTTGAGTAAAACCTAGTTTAAAAAAACTTATCTTACCCAGTTCATTTCATCTTTCTCCTTCTAGCCTGGTAATATTTTTCTCTGTGTTAGCTATCTCTCACATTTGAAAATTTGTCATGTATGCTCTCTGTGGCATTAGCCAAAGAATTAATATACATATTAGATATTTTCTAAACTTATAATTTAGGTAGTACAAGATATCCCCATTTTACAGATGAGAAAAATGGGCCTCGATGAAGCGCCCACTTGTAAGAAGTGGTAGATTCAAAACTTAAATACAGCCCTCCTGATTATGACCCTAACATTCTCCTCACCCCTCATGTACTAAAGATGGACTGAATATTTCCATTTGTACTCTTTCGAAGCATCAGGTGCACGTAAGTCTCTTGACTGCCTTGTGATTCTATTTTCACTAATTCATGGTGCCCCAATCCCTGGAAGGACCACTAGAAAACCAAACATGGGGAGCTTAATAAGGAAGGCGCTATTAAGTTAATTTGGGATCTAGTAGAAGAGATAGAATTCCTCTGGTGCCGTAAAAGGGTCAACCACTGTGGGGGGGGGGGGGGGCCGGGAGGAGGGAGGGAGAAAAATAGCTGCAAAATATTTACCTAGAGGAAATTTCTTCTAATCTCTTCATTTTATTAGGCCTGGGGGACGGGGAGGATGTCAAGGTCATGGAATATAATGTAATGCCAGAATATAATCTAAACCAAAAAAATGTGATTAGGCCTTCAGTTCCTTGGAGCAATGAAAGCATTTGTGAGGGCTCATTAGATCAGTAATCCCCTACTTATCCAAGGGTTAGAATTCCTATAAATTCATCCTTTTGGTACGTTCCTTTTTAAAATATTTTTAAACAGGGGGCAGGTAGGGGGCACAGTAGTTAGAGCTCTGGCCGTGGAGTCAGGAGGACCTGAGTTCAAATGCGGCCTCTGACACTTGACATTTACTAGCTGTGTGACCCTGGGCAAGTCACTTAACCCCAACTGCCTTGCCAAAAGAAATAAATAAGTATATAAATATATAAAAATTTTAAATAGGTCTTGAACCCAGAAATTAATTGAAAGTTAGGGACGAAGACCCTCCAAATGCCCCAGAATGGCTTCCACAAAGCCTGTACTGTTACTCCACAGGTTGGGAAGTCATGTTTTCTGAACCAAAAATCAGAACATGGACACTTTGATAAAATAAATTCCTTTCGTAAAGCTGCATTAAAAGTCTTCAAATGAGGGCTGCTCTAGAAGAGGATTCTAATGAAAGAAGTTAAGCCAGTCCCTGGCTTTTCTAGCACAAAGCTTGTTTAACTTCACGTTATACACAATTCCAAATTGTTAGATTTCCTTTGGTAATCTTTGGTGCTGCCCAAGCCCAGGCTATGGGGCCATCACCGGTCATCTTGACTTAGGTCTTGCCGCTGGACTCTGAAAGAGTGAAGCTGACAGCGTTGCCTCAAACCCAGTTCACTCACAAGTCAAGACATCACCCTGATGATATCATTGGTTCTCTTCAAGAATGAAGGAAGAGGGGACTGCTAGGTGGTGCAGTGGATTGAGCACCGGCCCTGAAGTCAGGAGGACCTGAGTTCAAATCCAGCCTCAGACACATAACACTCACTAGCTGGGTGACTGTGGTCAAGTCACTTAACCCCAATTGCCTCCCCGCAAAAAAGAAAGAAAATCTAAGAATGAAGGAAGAGGGGCAGCTAGGTGGTGCAGTGGATAGAGCACCAACCCTAAAGTCAGGAGGACCTGAGTTCAAATCCAGCCTCAGACCAAACACTTCACACTTACTAGCTGTGTGACCCTGGGCAAGTCACTTAACCCCAATTGCCTTAAAAAAAAAAAAAAGAAGGAAGAACAACGTCCCAGACTGTGGACATAACATGTTAGATATGCTTTGGAAAACTCAATAGGAGTCAGGAAGACCTGAGTCCAAATCCAGCTTCAGACACTTGTTGGCTATGTAACCCTGAGCAAGTCACTTAACCTTTGTTTGCCTCAATTTCCTTAGCTATAAAATGGAAATAACAGCATCTACCTCCCAGAGTTGTTACAGGAATCACATGAGATATTATTTTTAAAGTGTTTGAGAGTGCCTGGCACATAGTTTTGATGCATAAAAAGTTAAGAAATGTCACTATTTATTACTTCTCCTTGAGCATTTACAAATCCATTTTGAGGCACATCAAAGGTGTAGTTATGGAAAGTACTTTTAGAAACAGAAAATGAAATTGAAGAATGGGCAGGTGGTCACTGGTGCCAATACATTATATTCTGGAATTATTAGTATCTGTAGTGTCTATATATATAGTATCTATAGTATCTATATATAATTCATAGCATTGTGTTGCCTAAAGATCAAGTGTGAAAAATGACAGACTCATAATATTTAATATGTGCATTACATGTTACAGCCTCATAGGGTAATTGTGTTGTTGTTGTTGTTCCATTGTTTTCAATTGTGTCTGACTCTTTGTGACCCCCTTTGGGGTTTTCTTGGCAAAGAGACTAGAGTAGTTGGCCAGTTCCTTCTACAGCTCATTTTACAGATGAGGAAACTGAGGCAAACTGGATTAAGTGACTTGCCCAGGGTCACACAGCTACTAAGTGTCTGAAGCCAGATTTGAACTCACAAGTAAGTCTTCCTGATTCCAGGCCTTGCGCTTTATGCACTGTGCCACCTAGCTGCCCTTAGGATAATTACCTTATTTTAATTAAGAAAGGTGAATTTGACAGGTAAAATGCAACACATCCACAAATGCTTTTTTTGAGCAGGTCAGCCAGTACACCTTTGCTATGTGCAGTTACAGAGAAAAGAAGTCTGAACCACAGGAGTTAATGCAGCTTGAAGGATATACTGTGGACTACACAGATCCACACTCAGGTAATTTATTCCATTTATATTTTTTTCACCAGCATATGTATCTAAGTGTGTAATTTCCTTCATTCTATGCATTATTCAATGTTTGTTTAAGCCTCAGTTGTCCTTTATTTTCCCAAATGTGACTGCACTAGGTATCTGCACTAGGTATCTTTTTTTATGACAGCTGTTTCATTTGAACTTTAAGAAGAACATGTTAGCCTCTTAAGAGTGTCCTGATTTCTTGACTGACTAACAAAAAAGAGATTTTCTGGAAAATAAGCAACAGACACTTTCTCTCTAAAATCCAAAAAACTCTAAAGTAGCATAGGGTAGGGGGAAAAACTCCCAGAAATAAACTTAATGACAAGAACTGTCCTCCTTAGCCTCTTTCTAGATTCAATCAGAGAACCTGAGAACAAAGCCCAGTTCTGCCTACGCACTGGGAGCTCTTGCTAATCAGCCTGGTTTGCTCCTGTGTAAAACAAAGAGATTGGCCTCAGTAACTTCTAAGGTCTCTTTCAGCCTCAAATCTTATCATCCTTCCACCAGTAAGAATTAGAGCACAACTATGTGAAATTTTAAGTATCCAAAACATGCTTATTGAATTAACAACTAATAAAAGTCAGTTACTGTGGTTGAGCAGTGCTTATTAACAGTACTGGTGTTTTTGATCAATGGAAAGAAAGACCATAAGAAGGAGGTCTTTTCTCTTCTAAAAAGACCATAAATGGTTCTTTTTGGTCTCATTAGAAGTTAATGTCAAACATTAAAAACAAACAAACAAAAGCCAGAAGTCTGTGTGTTAGTTAACTGAATTAATGCGACATGTTCAGTTCTTAATCTTCCCTACCAGTTTTGATTTCCCTGGGCTGACCAAGAAAGAGCCCAATAATAAAAAGATACTTTCTCTTCAGAAATTCAGTCATGTGTTTCACCTGCAAATAGAATGGCAAGTGTTCCAAAGAGTGAGACTCTCTTCTCTAATAAGAACTATTTCAAGAAACTTATGAGACATATTTCAGTAGGGGAATAAATGTGTGGCTTTCAAGTGGTCACTGCCCATAGGGAGTCAGTTTCTTCGAGTTGTTATATTTTTTTAAGTGATGTGATAAATGAAAATTTTCTTTGATTTCCTTTCATACCTTTCTATAGCTCTTACCTATAACCATTATAAGTGCTAAGCTACTAATATAGCTCTCAATCAGTAATCAGTAATTTTTCTATTAGGGAGTTTAATAAAGGGGATAAAAATTTTTTAATTTTGTACATTTCTCAAAGTAGGAGTTTTATTTTAATAATGTTTATACCTATTTCTTCAGGACTTCAGGGTGGCCAGATGTTCTTTAATGCTGTTAAAGAAGGAGATACTGTAATATTTGCCAGCGACGATGATCAAGATAGGATACTATGGGTCCAGGCTATGTATAGGGCAACAGGTCAGTCATATAAACCTATTCCTGCAACTCAAACCCAGAAGCTGAATCCTAAAGGAGGAACTGTCCATGCAGATGCTGCTCAGCTTTGTAAGTTATTTTTTAAAAATAATTTGATTATCAATTAATAAGCTTAATATGATATAAAATTATCTAATGTAAATTTGTACAGTTTTATAGTTTATATAGTTTTGCAGTTAAACTGATTCCTAATTAAATAAAAATAGTTCATTTTAATACACATGCAACCAATTATCTAATTTTTTTACATAAATCTTAGACTAATGATTCCCAACCTTGGTTCAGCAACACACCAGGGTATCTCCCATAATTTCAAGGGTGTGTCACAAAATTCTTCAGAAATTATCAAGGCAAAATTCATTGTAATTCTCCATAATTTCAAAGATAAATTGATGCCAGAGAGGAATTTTTAATAGTATGGAAAAGTGACACAAAACCAAATAGTGATTGGATACCTCATACCAAAAATTTAGGAGTCATTACTTTGAACTATTAAGTAGATGGGCTTTAAAATAGAAAGATTTCTTTCTCTCCTAAGGTGTTTTAGCAGTATTATGTTATTAATTATGTTATCATACCAGTTATTTAAAAAATGTTTCATGAGCCCTAAGTCATTGCATTAATACCAATTCTTTAATCCTTTGTTATTAGTCATTTTTGTTTTACTGTATGTTTCTATACATCATCAAGAACTGTGTACTTAGATTTTACATATTACCATAATTAGTAATAAAAAGCATAAATGCCAATTAATAGGACCATTTTCAAGCAAAACTTAAATTTTTATAAGCAAAATCTCATTATTTTCAGTCATGTTGTTGGTCTTCTTGAATGTTTTCAAAGACTTGATGTGTTTTCCTAGAATATGTGTGATTGTTCATCCTGCCTTTAGCCTGTGGTTTCTCCCCTCCCCTTATATGTTTTCTCTCATCTTCATGTACTCTTAGACATTCTTTACCCAGGTGGGTATATCTTTTGCCCATTTTGTTCCCTTTCCCTCCTTCTGATTGATAAAGTAACTTCTCTCTCTTCTCCTAAGACCCCATTCTTTAGAATCTTTTTTTTTTTGAGGAAGCTTTAAACCAAGTCAATTTAAACAAATTATATTTGAAGAACATCTAGCACTCAGAATGTGCTAATATGGCAACTAAGAAATTCATCAGCAAAGGTCAGACACAAAGTGATTAAGTTTTTTATGAAAAGGTGGCTTGTAAATTGTCAGTGTCCACCCTCATGAAATAATAGGTAGCTGAAGGTGAAGTATAAGCAACAAACAATAATAGAAAAACCACATTTATTTAGGGTTGAATGGATTATAAAGTATTTTCCCAACAACAACCCTATGAGATAGATAGCGCAGAAAATTATTATCCCCATTTTGCAAATGAATAGACTGAGGTTCAGAGAGGCTAAGTGAATTCCTCATTAAGTCAGCAAAGTAGTAGAAGGACCAGAATTTGAACCAAAGCCGACTTACTCCAAGTTCAGTATGCGTTCTATTATACCACACTGCCTTCATGTATCAAAAGCATGCTAAGAACAGTGCAAATATTCCTACTCTTAAAATTAACATCAGCAACCTCAATTAAAGTCCTATCTTGAAGTTTCATTATCGTTAAAGTTTGAACCTGGATTGTCCCAAAATATAATTTGCGTAAACATATGCATAGATCTATATAATAGCTAATATTTATTTAATACTAAATATCTACCAGGCACTGTGCTAAGCACTTTACAAATATTATCTCATCTGATCCTCACAACAACTCTGGGAGGTAGACGTTATTATTATCCCCATGTACATTTGGGGTTAAGTGACTTGCCCAAGGTCACACAGCTAATAAGTATCTGTGGTCAAATTTGAACTCAGGTCTTCCAGATTCTAGGCCTGGCACTGTTACACCTAGCTGCCTACGGACTCATATTGATGAATTTGAAGATTTGCTGAAGTGTGAAACAATAATACTCCTAAAAGAAAAGTTGAGGGATGTGAGCAGGGTGTCTTTTTACTTTGTGAAATTTATTACTTTCTGCAGAAAATCAGTTGCATCAGCCTAAGGATTTGTAACATCCACCATGTTTGCACACTTCTACGTCTTTACCCACTGTTTTCCTTGGGCTATCCTAAAGCATTTAACAATAATAAGACATTCTTCTTAGAATTATATTCCTCATCATTTCTTCCCACTCTGTCTTTTACTTTATGCTTTTCCCTCTTTTTTTAATGTTTCCATTCTATTTCTGTCTTCCCTATTTTACATTTGATATTAAAGGTGTCCGTACTGGAATATTACACTATGCCTTGAGTTCTTCAGAGAAAAACATACCATGTTAGAAAATTAATGAGTAAACAATATATGTTAAATTTATTCAGTAACTGAGTGCTATGCCCTACACAAAGCTAAACATAGATTTTGGTCGCTGTTTGACATATTCCTAAAGAAAAAAGAATACATATGAGAAAGAGTAGGAATACACTGATGTTGGGTCACAAAGAGAAGATATATGCATATGTGATTATTCATCTGAGTTACCACGAGGCAGCAGAAGGCCAATGGACAAGTAGCTGGTAGTTATGAACAGCAAAACATTAATAACAAGGAATTATGAAGCAGAAATGGACTAGGTTGGGGGAGCCAAGAGGTGTAATAGCAGAAAGAAATATCCTTTCCTCCCCAAACCACCTCCCAATACCTCCAGAGAGATCTAAAAAATGTGCCAGATCAAATCCTGAATAGGAAATCCAAGAAAAATTCAGTGAGTCATTTTTTTTTCCTGGTCTGTGTCATCACAGGGGAAAAGTGAGGTCTGTAGAAACTAGGGAAAGGGAATTAGTCAAGAACCATCTCCAGAGAGAAGCTGTGCACCGGAGCAAAAAGAGGGTCCAGATCTAACAAAGAGGGCGCCAACCTTGTCAAGGTGCAGGAATAGATGCAAACTGGCAGTGATATGGTTCCCTAGTCCATTCCAGGTTACAGATTCAAGGTGGTTTGCTCCTGGGATGGTGTTCCAGTGTAAGGAGAAGTTGGCAGCTATAGGCTGTGTACCAAACAACAGGCATGTTCAAAAGAAGGAAGCAGCTGTGGGGTTTTGACTCCAGGAATGGATGAAAAAAATATACAAGATAAATCAAAAATAACTGACCTGAAAAATACATCAAGGAGAGAAAATTTAAGAAACATTAGACTACCTGAAAGCCATTAAAAAAAAAAAAGAAAAAGCTCCTAGACATCTTATTTCAAGAACCCTTAAAAGAAAACTTCTCAAATCTCTTAAAACCATAGGGAAAAGTGGAAGTAGAAAGAAATATTCACAAACAGAATCACCATTCACCTCCTAAGAGAAATGCCAAAATGAAAACTCCCAGGAACATTATAGACTAAATCCAGAGCTTCCAAAGGTCAAAGAAAAAAATACTGGAAGCAACCAGACAAAAAAAAATTCAAGTACCAAGGAGCCATATGCAGAATCACACATGATTTAGCAGCCATTAATATAAAGAAGCAGAGAGCTTGGGATATTATATTCTACTACAGAGAGTGTGTATATATATACATACATATAAATATAAATATATAAATATATAAATATATATATATATATATATAAAACAAAACTGAATATAATCCTAAAGAGGAAAGCATGGGTCTTTAATGAAATAGAGGTCTTCTAAGCATTCCTGATGAAAAGACCAAAACTGAAAAACTTTGATGTGCAAACACAAGAGTCATAAGAAACACAAATAAGTAAACATGAGTAAGTAATCATAATAGAGAAAACAAGGATAAACTGTTTGCATTCTAATTTAGGGAGATAATAACATGTGTCCCCTCAGAAACATATCATAATCAGAGGGTCACTGAGGGAGTCTAATTAAAGAGCAAGCCTAGGAGCAGTTGTACTGTTTTGATTATTTAAAAAGAAGGATGAAAAGAGAAGGGAAAAGGAATACACTAGGAGGGGGTTGGGAAAAAGCCAAGAAAAAATATCTAGCATAAGTGGGGTGCACAAATAGAAGTCTATACATACAAGGAGGAAGGGGTGGGGAGGAACAGTTGATACTTGAACATAACTGTCACTTGGATTGGACACAGTAGGGAAAATACACAATTGGGTAGAAAAATTCCAAAAAAATTTTTGAAAAAATATTCAACAGGGAAGTAGTGAAAGAAGAGAAGAATAAGGAAGGTATATTAAAGGTGAAATTAATCCTAAACAAAATAAACTATTAAGTCTGTCAAAAAATATTTATAGCAGCTCTTTTTGCAGTGGCAAAGATTTGAAAACCAAGGGGGTTCCTGACAATTGGGAAATGACTGAACAAGTTGTAGGATATAAATGTGATAGAATACTATTGTATTATAAGAAATAATGAAGGGCATGGTTTTAGAAAAAAAAAACCTGGGAAGACTTGTATGAATTAGTGCAGAATGAGGTGAGCAGGACTAGAAGAACAGTTTTTATAGTGATAGCAATGTAAGAAAGATAAATAACTTTGAAATCTAAGGAACTCTGAGTAGGAAAACACCCAACGATGATTCCAGAACACTCCTCATTAAACATGATAACCTACCTCGCTATAGGGAGGTGATGTACTCATTACTGATTTAGACATTTTTTTTTACATGACCAGTACAAGAATTTGTGTGTGTGTGTGTGTGTGTGTGTGTGTGTGTGTGTGTGTAAAATAGCTATAGTGTTTTTCTTTCTTTCTCATTTGGAAAAGGGAAAGTTTGTTTTTTGTTGATTGGAAAAAAATAAAATTAATTTTTAAACACAAACTCTTCTTTGCCAAAAGTAAGAGAAAGCTGATCAACAATCCACAAATTCTGTAGATATCCATGTGATGGAGGAGAACTTATTAAAGTGCCCTCATTGTGTTGGATGGACTCCATGGATAGGTTTTAAACTACATTATTGAAGGTAATATTTCTATCAATAAAATAAAAAAATGTTTGAGTAATCACCTCAAAAATAAAGTTCTCTAATTTCTTCTTAAGCTTTTGTGTCTTTAAACCCCTTCAAATAATTTGTTTTATGAGTCCTAAGTAATTGATAATTAGAATATG